TTTTTTTTTTTTTTTTTTTTTTTTTTTTTAATAAAATAACGGATTTAATGTTTCGGACTGAGCGATAACGCCTTGACTAACTGCAAGTGTAACTTATTCCTTATACAGTTTTTTTCCACCACCTATTATTTGTTTCTGGAAAACCCTTATCAATGGCTAGGGAAATATCTTACGATAAACTAGAACAGAGCATCTAGAGCGATGCATCAAATGTTTTTTTCCCATGAAAGACACTGTGCTCACTATTGTAGAACTCAAAATCGTTGCAAAATTTATTAAATCACCTGCAGTCAATGCTGGAAAAACTGATTTCTATACCCACGGGGCGGGAAAAGCAAGTGGTTGAGGAACAGATACGGTTTCCAGTTTGGCGTGAGAATCCACTGAGCTGCATTTACTTAAATGATGGACTACGATATGGGGATAATCAGGAGGGAAAGAGAGAGACGGAGAGCCCTCACCAGGCCAAAAGGGTAATTCTTCCTCCGCCCACCCTCCTGCCCGCTCGCTTTTCGTCCTTTTCTCCAAAACTAAGAGAAAAACGTTGATTTTCATCCCATTACATAGCTTAGGAAGACACTTGTAACGGAAATAAATGAGAGGCTTTTAAACATGCCTTGTATCAGTGTGATCTTTGAAATCATTTCGGCAGAAAGTATTACGACAGTATGAGATCGAAGAACCTGCACGCTTCCAAGCGGGTTTCCCACGAACTGCTTCGGTAACTGAGAACATCACCGGCTGCATACCTGTAAATCAGTCAACCCACACGTTTCCAAAATGGGGTCGTGCACTAAATTAGATGAGATGCAGCCAAATCAGTATTGCGATTCGTTATGATATGCGGCAGGTTGAATCGTTATTTAGCGTCTGATCAATAGTCGATGCAGTAACAGGAAAAACGCTTTAAACGCCCACCCGTTCGGACAAATTTGACGATTTGCCTTTAGTTTACCGCAATTTTTCAGTTCGCTTTAACGATTTAGCGCTCCCTATTGTAAAAAGAGAAGCAATTTTATATTGTTCATATATTTTTGATACTGACAATGCGGCACTGACAATAAATCAGAGCTAAAAGGCGAGAAGGAGGGAGTTATCAAAGCTCATGATATTGCTACTTGCTGAATTACAGTTCTAAACGAGCCTACCGTGGCTGAACATTGACGTCCCCTTGCTATAATTGATAATTTCGAAAGTGTAATTGACATCCGCCTCATTATTGGATAATTCAAAATAGAACCATTGGTAGCGCGGCCGCGGCTGATTGATATCCGGTGATAATATCAATTGATAATGCCTGTCACTAACCTGCAAATTCGAATATCGTCTGCTCGTTCAGATTCATTAAGAACAATATCGAAGCAAATTTTTCCAAGGAGAGTAAATCCAGGTGCTCGCACCACTGCTTCATTGTCCCGGCAAGAATTACTAATAAAGACGAAGAGTTTTAATTTTAAACAGGAACGGCTACTAAAGCCGAGCAAAGCATACATTTTCATTTCAGCGGCGGCCCTAACAGAAATTGAAAAAAATTGGCCAACGCACGGGCTGCCCGTGCGAAGATGCGTTTTTTGCAGAGTTCCCCGCAGTTCTTATCGCCACCGGCATCGGTCTTTTCGGCAAATGCTTCTAGCTGAAAGAATTTCAGGCTAGCCGCTAGAACTGTCTGGAAACATCCCCCCAAAATTCCAGTCTTCTAGCTTCTCACCTTCTCAAGTAAGTAACTTGCCC